TTTATTTTCTAATCAAATTTTCCTTGTCCAATTGAATAACTAAAATAATAATAAATTAAAAAAAAAATTCTGTAAAATATTTAACTAGAAAAAATTCTATCTAAATACCACATGTGAAAATAATAATTTAGTAAAGTACATAATAGAAAAAAATAATATTTATGAAATTGTWAATGCTAAATTAACCGGATAAATTGTAATTATTAACGCCTTCATTATTGTTATTTTCATCAACTCCAAGTTTGTATATATCATCATTAATCTTACACATTTGATCAAGAAARTCTTTATCTTCTAATATTTTTGCAAGTGCAGATAATATGTTACAAAACTGAATCTTAGTCATCTTGAGATGTTTACTACTTGTATCTAATATCTTCTCAACATCATTATCGATTTCCTAAAAATATATTGAWATTTAAATAAATAGGATACAATTTAATATTTAATTCAGTTTTCTTTACATGTAATGTTATAAATTTAGCAGATGGAATTTTAATTCGGTGTTTAATTGTTGAAGCTTGGTCATCATCGCAAAACAATGTAAATGTGGACTGTGGCGCTGCTTTGAAATAGACACCAGCCAGCAAATGACCTTTTCTATCAGTGGCCAATAAGCTTCTAAAGTTGTAAACCAAATTTCGGCGTTCAGTGACAGACACTGGTGAATGATAAGACGCCCCTATATATACCAAGTTAGTTTCTGGTTTCGGTGATCCATTCCATACAGACCATTGCACATATTTTTCACCAACCATTGTTTGATAACAATACTCTTTTTGCGGACAGGATGATGGCACAAAACGACCTAATAAATATAACATATTTGAGTTTAAATAAATAACATAATTTAAGTCAAAATATTTACCGGTATGGGGATATTGTTGATCAACCATTACAGTTATGACTCTACCTATTTGATAACCAGGATCYAGCAATATCACACCACTACGACCGTTGATTTTAATTTGCATTGCAACCATTACATGTTCTTTATCACTTACCCATGGGTCTGGGTAGTCATTACTTATGTATCCCTCATGGCTCTAAGTATATGAAAACAAATTTAAGATTTTAGTAGAAATCTACATATTTATATTTGCATAAAATGAAAACTTACTTCTATAGATTCCTCACAAGATACCATATAAAGACTATTTTTAACACCAGGAAATCTCTTTTCTAACAATGCTAATTTCCCAATCAATAATAAACCAAGTCCAACACAGGTATTTGCATTTTTAGTTAATGGTGGCTTATATTCCCGAAAGAAGTTCTCCAGCGTATCACTTTTCCCATTTTTGTATTCATTATAAAATCTAAAAAATTAATTATAATTTAAGTTTGATATCATAAGTACATTTTTTTAATATTTTATTTACTTTATGAAGTTAGTTGTTGAATCATAATTATATGCCTGAAGTAAAATCTGTACTTCATTTTCAAATTGTCTAGTCAGCTCTTCATATTCCTCAATCGAGCTGACCGTATGGGGTGGCCTTGAACTACCCCATTTCGGCAAAGGCACAGGCTGACCAATAGGCCAGTCGGCCGCTTTCTGGCCATTGTTCAGCCAAAATGTATACTCGTCATCATCGTTGTGGTTGTCAGGAGAAGGCCGGGTTTCGAGTCAACTCGGCCATTCGTTTCCCCATCTACCGACTGTTGGTATGTAGCTGGATTCATCCCTGTAGCAGCTGTCTTCTGCAGCGCCAACAGGTCCTTCTACTTCTAGTAATTTTTTCTCACGCTCTTTAAACATAAATAAAATMAATGTTAAGATGCACTTAGATTTACTGACCTTAATTATCAGTATAGATTACATGGATTTATATATTTTAGAAATGAATAATGAATTAAAGAAAACCTGTATGTCTATTTTGTCATAGGAGTATAACAATAATAATGCTCAAAATTAAAAATATGAATTAAAAAATATTATGTAAGTGAACAACAAGCAGCAGGGTTATGTTGTATTCAAAATAAAATTCAATAGTCTTACATTTTTTATGTTGCCTAGATTTAATAATATTTATAGCAACTAAATTATTGTGACATCATAAAATTTGTTGTTGTAT